CCCAGCCTAACGAGCACTCCACGTCGCAAAAGCAATCTGCCAAGAGCAACGGGTTTAACTTCTTGAATGCGAAAGCCTGTCGGGATCTCCATTCCTTGTGTCTCGTCCTCCGGGTCTTGTGGGTCCATGCTGTCGTCGTCGTCGAGAAGAGCTAGCTCATCGGTCTGGATTTGAGACGTGCCTGCGAACGGGGCACCGTGAAACACCACAAGAAGTACGGTGTCACGGCCGAAACTCAACATCAACCCATTATATTTGCTCGTAGTCGTGAACGCGGAAACAGCACATCAGCAAAATCCAAGCAAAGATCAACATGGACATCGTCATCAACAAGGAAATGACAAAGATGGGGTCTTCTGCAAATCAAGCTTACCGCCGTCGTCTTCACCATCGCTGCAATCAGCGCCCTCCACAACCGTCTCACGTCCATCGCCCTCCTTCCCCCGCCCCTCAGGCTCATCGCTGCCGTTCTCCAAACCTGCTTCGTCCTCGCTAGAATCTTCATCGTTTGCGAAGGTGTACGGCTTGTCCAAACCCTCCAAGGTGATCCGATCATTGCCTAAGCCGTCCACAGTCATGGCCATGCCGCACTTTTCGAAAAGGCGGAATCGGAACGCCTGTTGGCTGTTGAGTCTTGCCATTGCCGCTCCAATCCACTGAGTGATCAGTACCCGCCGATCAGAAGCTGTCAGCGCCGCGGGTTCCCACCTCTCGAGGTTGTCCGACTTCTCGAGCCACATGCCCATCTTCCTCCCAGCTTCCACCTTGATGAATCGTCCGGCTCCTGCATCAACTGGCTGCACCTCGTCCGTGCACTCCGAAGGGCCATACCAGGCGAGAGTGTTGCACTCCTTTGCAAGATACTCCTTGAACTCGTCCGTCGTCTCCGCGTGCAAGTTGTCCATGATAAGAGTGGACCTCGCCTTGGAAAGCTCACCCCGCCCGCGCATCAGGCCTTCGCGGTAGGACCTCTTAGCTCACTCCATACAGAACGTTTGGTCGGCCCAAGCATTCTCCTGGAAAAACACGTCCACGT